CCCCAAAACCCCAAAACCCCAAAACCCCTTATGAAGGTATCTTTATTGATAAGATTATGAAGATGTTATTTGGACTTTACGTTAGGCGAGATGGTAGCTGTGAAATCATCAGGAGAGGGATTTGAAGGCTCAGTTATTTTGATCCTGTAGTTTATAGGGCTTGCATCAAAATCTTGATCGGGGGTATTAGAGTCTTTAAATTCTGGGAACCTCTCCTCTTTACTTTCTTCATTATTGTTGTCTTGATGTCTGGTGATTAACTTTCCTTTTTCCCATACACCTTTGATTATTTTAGTTAGACTTATAAAAAATCCCTTTTCCGTGCATTTCTCCTAATTCAAAACCTCCTTCATACTTATCCCCATTGTTGAAATAGAACATCCCTTGCCCTTTCCTTTTGCTCCGATGCTAAAATCAGGTTCTACAAGTTACTTACCCATTGACCGATGTATTTATTTCCATTAGACCACTTCATAATCCCCTGGCCTTGCATTCTGCTTTTGATCCACTGACCTTCATATCGTTTGCCTTCAGGCCAAACAAAAACGCCTTCTCCTTGCATTTGGTTATTGACCTATTAATTTAAACTCAAATTTTTACAAAATCTCCTTCAAACATAGATGTGTCACTGTAGATCAGTAAACCTTTCCCATTCATGGCTCCGTACTTGTACCCTCCTTGATATGTTGTGCCATCTGGCCAAATCTCATCAGATTTTTCTCCATGTTTAGCATCATTTTTCCAAAACCCTTTATAAATTGCACTATTATGCTGTAATTCGCCATATCCTTCAGCTCTACCATGAGCAAAGCTGCCTGTGTACTTCCTGCCGTCTGGATGAGTCCTGATACCTTGCCCATGAGGGGTTCCTTGAGAGAACTCTCCTTGGTAAGATCCGCCAGTTTTGTAAGATAGCTTTCCCTCCCCATGAGGTAGGTTCTGTAACCACTGTCCTTTGTAGATATTACCATCTGGGAGAGTTACCTCTCGTAGTTCCTTTTCCTTTGCGACCTCAAGATCTGCCGATGGTCTTTGATCAGTGATAAGATCAACATCTTTTTTATCACAAGAAGAGCCCTCCTCTTCTGTGGTATATTCAGACTCTTCCTCTTCGACTGAGAAGTCCTCTGCCTGATCAGGTGAGATTTTTTTATCGTTTTTACTAAAGAGGTTATTCAGTGCATGCGATCTTTGGGCTTACCTTTCTTCCATTTTGTAATTTTGAAAAGAAGATTTTCTATATTATTTAACATTTTTGGGGTTTTGGGGTTTTGGGGTTTTGGGGTTTTGGGGTTTTGGGGTTTTGGGG